CCATTGATCGACTTACTAGGAGTTCTGCCAACGGAGTTGATATTACATAAAATCGTTGGATTATCAACAACTGTGCAACTATTATTTTACTTTGCCTGTATGGTTAGCCTGGGAAAACCTTCTTCAACGCCAGGCTTAATTGGCGATAGAGAAAAGTATTAAAAACACGTGCTTTCAAGAAAGTACATTTCTCGCAGAACAGGTGAACAAGTTGAATGTGGTTGATAGGATCAATTATTCTTAGGGGCCGCTCGCAATGAATTTTGTCGACCTAGCTAATGCGCATTAACTCCACGGAGACTCTCGCTAAATGCAGTCAGATTCACAGACCAACACCCCCCTGTCGTTTCCAACGTACTCATGTAGTCCCCAGCTTCTCCGTATTCTTTACTCGACGCCAGGAGATATGTTAGTCTGTTAGTCTGATTACATACAAAGAGAATCAACGTGGAGTCGATGCGCATTAGCTAAGTCGACAAAACTTATTGTTAACGGCCCCTTGGTCTCCGTGTTAGTGTAATACATATATTAAGTGGGGATATGAATCCATGGTTGATCTAGGGGATAGGCTCAGGGATACAGGACACCCCACGTGCTTGTTACCGATGTGAACAATTTCAAGGTGAAACTGTCGGTCTCAACTTGTCGATATCCGTGTGATTTGTACGCCTAACTACAGTAATTAGACATAAAACAATTGATCCCTGGTAACTTTATTCTGTACGTTATACGGATCCCATATGCATTTTTATTTCAATTCGTGCATGGTATAATGCACATATATTTAATGACATAACGATCGAGAGAGAGAAAAAAGACAGAGAGAGATTTTATATTAGATTAAGGGGGCGGGAAGCAATAGAAAACATTTCTAGTCCTCTGGCAGAGTTATGCCGTGGTTATACCTTGTTCTTTGTAAATGCAAATGTTTCATAATTGAATATATGTAGATAGGCCTATATACTGATCAAGCTTGGGCCTGATTGCCTCTCAGGTAGTAATTATAATACTGAACGTTTGATATCCCACGTTATTATGTATACATATTATTTTCATAGTAAACAACATGAAACTGAACACTGATATCAGTGCGGTTACGTAATGATTTTTATTTTTATTTAGATTCCAACTATAAGCAATGATATTGGTGCATACTGGCCTTCTCTGCTCTGTACACGTCTTCAAGACGAAACCTTTATTAACCATCTCGTTCTTTGCATTATAGCTGGCTGCGTACAAATCCCCAGGGGATGCTGCCATGGGGTCTAAAAGACAATCCCCTGAGGGTGAAGACCACGCCCTACCTCCTCCAGAACCCAAACGGGTAAGTACAACCTTGCGTTCTCAGAATTCGCCTGTTGTACGAGTACATCTGTGATCCGGGGCCGTAGCAATAGTCCGAAGGTTCATTGGTCCGAATATTCACTATAGAACCTTCGGACCAATGAACCCTTGATTAAAAAATCGATGAAAATGTTACCACTTTTCGGACCAATGAACCTTCGGACTATCGAGACGCCCCCTGTGATCCAAACTACAGTGCTGTATAAAATCACTCCTATCAACAGTCCAACATACGTTCCCTCCCTTATATGCATCTACATTCATGCCTGTGCACACCCATATACACGCCAAGAAACAAACAAATATTATACTCGTGTGTACACTAGTACTGTGCCCACTTATAGCGCCTAAATACAGACACCCTCATGTTGCTCACGCGTCGATTTCACATACGTAGCACATTTACTATTAACTTGCTCACTGGCGCTATATGCAAACATGACTGGCATCGAGCCTGTTCAGAATGTGTAAGTGCCCACTTGCTAGTGGGCACTAACTCCAAGGGGACTCTCACTGAAAGCAATCAGACTGTCAGACTAACACGTCTCCTGGCGTTGAGTAGAATTATACAGAGAAGCTGCTGATTATATACTCGTACTTTGGACACAAGAGGAGGCGTGTTATTATGTTCATGTGATTACATTCAGCAAGAGTCTCCGTGGAGTTTGTGCACATTAGCCAGGTGGACATCAGTTTTCCTGAAAGTTTGAATTCTGCCGGACGACACAGACAGACAAAACTCGTACTCACCTTTAAATGTTTCATTATTTAGATTTCTATTTTCGAAAAAAGGTAGTCGTTGACTCAGTGAGTTTGATTTTAACCTTCTTTCCCCTCAGTGGCATAAACTCCCAAAAATAGCATAATCCCCAAATTCAAAGCTAGTGTAAATTTTTTCCCTTCGTAAAATAGACCATTACCCCTAAGCGTACGTGGATCCACCTTGTACACAGTTGCATATACACACCACATCGGCTTGAAGTCAGTTTTTTATATAGGTGCTCAGTTAACTCTAAGTATTAACCTCTGTTTTGTTTGTTTGTGGTCTAGTTTTCATAATTAATCGAAACAAATTAACGTGGCCTAATTGAAGCACGTTTCTATATTGAAATGAACTATATCTGCATACAGACATATCACCAACAGAAATTTAAGTAGAGGGAATATCCAATACTTGAACACTTTACGCTCAAATTGAGCGATTTTGGTATTTCGGGGAACGTTTAGGGAGCAAAAATATAGAAATCACTCCTCATAAAAATTGGCATTTCCGGATATTCTGTTCTGACACCTAATACGCCCATAGTAACGACTGCTTGCCTTCATACACACGCTTCATCTTAAACAGCACATAAATATATTAGTACATGACTAACCACATTAACAGATTAATAATCCATATGATAAAAAAAATCATCTAGATTATTGAAACCCAAACAAAAAGACTGATGCATGATCCAAGTACAAAGAAAAAAAAAACAAATCCAAACATTCTTCCAGGTGGACCTGTTGTAACTGTAGAAAACAAGATGTTGTTTGTTTGAATATGTTGTTTGCAAGGATTGAATGTCAACCTCTTGAGGAGTGCAGACATTGCGTTGCATGCCTCGTCAGGGTTGGCACGCCCACCTAACTTCATATCAAGCACCATGCAGAAGAGGACCATTTGAACTTCCACGCATCCAACCACCAATTCGTTCTGCACACAAATAGGGCATGTTGGTTTTGCCTAGCCGTGTGTTTTGACTGGCGTTGTGGCCTGCCTAGCCGTGTGTTTGCTGGCATTTTGCGCCTTTCAGTGCGGTGTGTTGGGAGATTGCTCCTCTTTTTAGATCTTACTGTTCACGTAGTAGAGAGAGATATGTACTACTTATAATAAACTTCTAGAATAGGGGGATTGAAGATAGCTAGGATATTTCTTCGATAAACAAAGCAGAAGACTTTGCCAAATCATGTAATCCATCCTCTGAAGCAAAGACCGATATTACAATTTTATTTCATTTTAATTTATTGTATTTTATTTTTTTGTACAAAAATCCTGACACATTCTGCCTTTTTAGTGTACAGGCATATGTTACAGCGTCAACCTCGATATGAAACATTTTCTGACAAAGCCTTTAGCTTTCAAGATATCGATAGCGAGGCGCATACCACGTGATTGTAGTTTAACCACAGTCACATGACCCACAGCAGTAACCATGCCGCCCTAATTAACAGTAACACGTGTTACTAGGCTGACATAAGCTCGGCTGAACTTGACCTTGTTGCGTCAGTGGTTGGACTATCCCAGGATTCCAGGCAATGAGGTCTGTTTGGTTATGATTACCTACCTCCTACCTCCTCTCGGCCGTATGGCATAGTTCACGTGAGTAATAACCTCGTTATAAATTACAGATGCGCGAAATAAACAAGCTGTACATGTGAAACATCTTATAACGTTGCTACGGTATTGTCGGAACAATGGGGTGTCTTCATCAGTTTATCTGGTATCTTTAATATTTCGCATTGTGACAGTTAAAAAAATGGTGTGGATCTTTCGCTCGCTGTCCATTTCTCATTATTAATGTTGTGTATGTTAATGTGTGTCCATTGACTTCTCTTTCTTAGTTAACTCGGGGGGCCTCCAAATTATTCAAACAAAAGATTCCATGAAAACATGTACAAACGCGACTAGAACAAACACATTAAGAGGAAATTCTGTTATGTAAAAACGTACTAGTAAGTCTACATTTAATTTTGCATTTTTAGGACAGATACTTTTTTCAACTGTAAAGAGGAAAAAGCAACAACGATGAGTCTCGCAGTGTATTCTGTAGTACACATTTTTAAAAAGTACTTGTAAATGATTTTTTGAGACTATCAGCACCATCTGTACCATCTTTTTCTTGCACTGCCTCACCTCCCCCCCCCCCCAAATCTACACCCTGTGTTGCCTCCCTTTGCTTTCTAACTCAGTAAGCACCTCGTTTTGCAGCCACTGTGTTTGTTGAGTCAAACATGTAACGAAAACAGAAAAAAACATCTTAGCCGAAATACATGCGTGTCTCTGGTTTTATATAACTACTTACAGGAATGAATGCAATACACGCAGTTTTCCAAGTTAGCCTATTTACATCGTACATGTACATCTGCTTTGTTCAGTCTGTCTTTACCACTTACATACTACCATCCACAGCGAAATACATTTTATTTTGTCTTAGTCTCTTTGACACACATGCCCTCAACAAATTGACAACATCTGGATACAAAATAATAATGCAAACTACAAATTTCAACCCTCTGTTCTTCCGTTTTTAACCTACTGGAGCCAAGGCCAAGAGCTTTGGACGCCTTCCAAATATAAACCGCAAGATTTTAGCACCAGAGATTTCGAAACCCGAGTATACGTAAATGCATGTCACTACCGGCCTTCGGTTCCCTGAAATGTTCACAAATGACTTATGTAGTAATATCTTTTCCAAGCACAGATGCTTATCAGCAGCACTTCAAATTTTATCTAGGGGCTGGAGGAGTAGACAAACAGACAGACAAAATGTCCGCCATCCCTCTCCATCGAGCCTCTTAGTGGCCATAAGAGTAATCACACAGAAAGGTACAGATATCCAGCATGCGCATGCGTTATCTATTTCATGGACCCCACAACCAACTACCTTCCCCACGTCATCAAGTCGCCTGCCTCATCACTTATTCACTACAGCGTCTTGCATCATTTTTGTAAATGGTAGCCCTTTGCAATTGGGGCCAACATGTGTAGTTCCCCTTAATCGCACGAATGTGTCGAATTTGTTATTAAAATAAAACTTAGAAGATGTATTTGTCTGAGTTATAAGTACTTGACAGCATTTTTTTGGAGATGTTTTAAAGTATCAAATCAACAGGGGAAATGCATAACGCGAAAGCATAATAACAAGATGAGGCAGGTTCCTTCCGAAAAACCTATGTTTGTCTCCTAACATTGTATACACGTCCTCTCCTTCCTGATGTCTTCGTTCTAATCTGGACGCTGCATTAATACGTCTTAATCATGAACGCACTGTTAAGACATATTAGCAACTGCAGATGGTATAATTGCACCTTACAAACAAAACGGCGCATACGAATTGTGTTAGTTGAGACGAGTCTCATCCAAACGCAGTAAAGCCCTTCAGTCCATAGACTACAGAATACTCAAACTGTCTCTGAAACATTAACACCAGTGCATGCACACAGTGTAATAACTACCGGGCTGAGAGCCGGGTACATATGTCCTCTGTTTAATGTAGAATGGTGCATTTTCCTGTTCACCGTCATACCTTTGTCGACAATCGTAGTCTTGTATCAGAAACCTCACCGCCTCCAAGCTTTCCATGTGGGCAAGAGTATGTCCAATGAAATATGTCATACAAAGGACGGGGTGCTTGAAGTAATTAAGCTTACAGCTGGTGTTGCAAAGAATTGCCAGTAAATATAAAACGTCACTGGCTTATTTTGATAAATAACACATCAATATCACCATTTTATTTCCGAACACCTTTATTCTCTGCTTCTGTGCTGCATACCTCGCAATAACAATAGCCTTCTACGCACGTCTCATGCTCTCTGACCTTGCTTCTACTAAATGCGTTGTTGGGGGCTACTTTTTACTAATCAAACGCTGATTACTTATTTTTCTCTGCATGACGTTTTGCTAGAATATTACCAGTAGATACTTCTTTTGAAATTAAGATTTTAATTAAAATCTGGACATTTTTAGGCAACGTAGCTGCCATTAGTTACAGTATCTTATATTGCATGCGCAAAGCGGTCGGATGCTCGTGTGCACGTCACACGTGTTGAACTAGACATAAATGTAGCTTCTTTCAATCCCTTAACAAGGAACTTCCACCGGAATGTTAACTAGATGCCATAACAGTTGTTTTGATCGGTAGCTTAAAGAAACCTTTCGCTTCATGTGTTCAGCGCATGAAGATATTTTATTTTCATAACATTTACTAAATGTGTCGTATCTAGAAGTGTACATGGAAGCGTAAATGAACCGAGACAAAGATTTTATAGTGCTTGAGTATATGTACAATGCTCTGAGGTGTATGGAGATAAGTGAACAGAGTAATAACATAGCAATATATTGTTTTTGTGGACTTCGATGTACCAAATAAGGAATTTTCTGTATGTACACTTAAACTTTTGTTGGGACAATAATGGAATGTTTATAGCATTATAACATTATTATCTGTCAGGTGTCAGCTGAATGCATGGTTAAGAGTTGCTGATGCTTACATTTATCTCTCATTTTCAGCGGGTCCTCACACGGAGTATAAGTGAACAAAGCACAAGCATGGAGGACCGCGAAGTCTCGCACCTCAGGCGAGATCTCGAGGATGTAATTGAGCGCGAGAGTGACCTTCGCGAGCAACTTCGTTTTACGGAAGAGGAGGTCAAAGTTTTGCGTAAAAAGCTTCAAGAGACTGAGGTTGAAAACGAGACTTTGTCCATGCAGCTAAAAAAGATGTCCCCAAGCGGCTCTAGGGGAGCCAAGGGGACGAAGAAGCGACAGGGTTCTCTGGAAGAGGTTCTGCCACCAACATTGCCGGATATTGCCGAA